CCCAATGCAGTTCTGCCTTCAGCATGTGCTAAATGGACTGGAGTGTAATGCACCCCATAATTAACACCATCAGTTAGAAAACAGCTATCTGTGCTCATGTTGGGAAGTGATGCTAACTGGGTTAAACTGTGGTTGGTGGTGGGTCTTGGTCTGATTTCTCGGTGGTATGTCGCAGGTCTCTCGGCGCCTCACGGTGGTGCCTTGGTTCAGCATTTAAGTTGATCCTGCCTGGGCATGTTCCAAGGCACTGGGGAGATCGGAGAGGCAGCAGGTCCAGTAGAAGCCAAGGTATCTGCACCAGCGACATCAGGAACAGACAGCCAAGGTCACCCCAGTGTGTGAGATAAGCACAGGACTCATCAAAGAGTGTTGAACTTTGAACTTATTCCTTTATTTTCCTAGTTTAAACTACAAAAGACTTTAATATAAACTATTATCCATTTCTTCATCTTTCTACTACCCTATGAAGTAAAGCTTAACTTTTTAACTCTCACTTCTCTTACTACTTTGTTTCTAAGTTCTTTGTACCTAGGTATCTTGGTACCTAAGATAGTGCCATGTGTGGTGACGTTACACACTTCTCGCTGCACTCCTGTACTTGAGTACAATAAAATCTAAAATCAAAATCTAAAAATCAAACCATCTGACTGATGGTGAAATAACTGTATCTTTGAAGCCCATTTGCTGGTAGAGAACTTTTGAAGAACTGCAATTCCTAGAAGCTGCAGATATTGTCTGTCCAGACAACAAATACCAGTCTACACAAGAACTAATTGTTGAGAAAATCAATATCTCCACATTAAGCCCACTTTCCCAAGATGGGAGGGTGAGGGTCATACACTAACCGATTATGATTCATATCTTAGTGTCTAAAGGTGCATCTAGGGGTAAGGACACTTTACAAACATATTTAATACAAACACCCACCACAAAGTCAGAAGTCCAGATTTAAAATTGATTGTTCAACATGAGTTTCCCTGATATCAGGAACCCAAAAATCAATGGGAGGTGAAAACCTCAGGGTACAGAATGCATGTGCCCCACTCACCACAAGGGGCAGAGCGCTCCTCCAGCTTCTGCTGTCAGTCCATTGTCTCTCCATCTCGGTCCACTGTCTCTCCATGACTGCAATTCCCTCAGTTTCCCTCCAGTCTTCCAAGCCCCACCTCTCCCAGCCCCTCGACCCTGTTTGCTGGACCACTCCCAAAGCTTCCCAGCTGACTGTCAGGTTCTCTCTCCTATTTCTGCCACTGGCCTGTCCAAATGGAGAAAAGAAACAAACAGCAAATTGTGATGCGGTACGGTCATTAAGTTTACCAGGACGTCCAGGTCCCAGGTTTTTCTGGGTTCTGCAGACATTACAACCTTTCCATAGCATTCCCGGAACTACCTGGACCAACTGAGAATTTGAAAGTGTGCTCTGGGGCCAAGCAAAGCCTTTTGCATATGTATTTGATTTTAGTGGATGAAAGCAGTGATGTTACTGATATGGCTCAGCTGACTATATGTATTCAGTAAGTTAATGGGAATATTTTCAGGACAGAGGAGCTTGTAAGATGGGTGGTGACAATAAATGACCTCTTGGATAGCTTGGTGAGTGGTTTGTAAATATCAGATATTAACCAGATAAAAGCTGTTCGTCTGACCACAGATAACATGCACTCAATGGTGAGTAAGGAAACAATGGTCTGGAAAATTGAAACTAAAATTATAAACTATCACCCCAAAACCAGTAAAGTTATTTCTAAGAGTTTTTTTGCATTAGAACAATCTAAAGATTTGAAAGTGAATCATGTTGTGAATATTTTTATTAATATGGTATGTTTTGGTTGAGGTACTGGCCTCAAACACCTGCTGTGTAATAAGTGTATGAAGACTGAGGAGCTGTTTTAGTATTTTTTCTGAATTGCTTGCTGAAAGGGAAACGTATTGATACCCTCACTTTCATGGTGGATATTACAGAACACCTAAACTCAACAGAAGTTGAAGAAGTAGCAGAATACACGATAGTGTCCCTACTTCTGAGCTAGGAGACCTAGGTTCAAGGCCCAGCTGCTCCAGAGCTGTGTTATGACAGGTTGATGGAAAATATTTACAAGATAAAATTTGGACCTTTGAACTGAAACTTTAGCTATGGGAGAAGAAACATCCCAGACTAACTTGAGATAATAAGGTGTAGAGCTGGATGAACACAGAAGGCCAAGCAGCATCAGAGGAACAGGAAAGCTGACATTTCGGGTCTGGACTAACTTGACACATTTTCCTGCCTTGAAATCACCGTCCGGCACTTTTTGGAATCAAGGTCTTTGCATCACAAGTGGTCAAGGCCAAAACTGATGAATTGTAAAAGGAATTTGAAGATCCATGAAAGAAATTTGGAATCTTCATTGCAAAATTATCTGTCAATCTTCATGCTGTACCAGTTGAACTCCAAACAGAGCTGCTGTCACTTTTGTGTTTGAAGGACAGACTTTGCAAACATCTGGCACCAAATTATTTCGAACTGAATTCTTTTGCAATGAAAATTCTTTCCATGTTGGCAGTGCGCACATGTCTGAACAAACATTTTCTGGCATAAATATTAACAAGTCTAACCCACATCCTCAACATTGCAAACCAGTCACAAACAGACCCCAGCATTTAACATATTCTCAGCCCAGTTGCTTACTTCAAATACTGATGTTTTAAACTATGCAATACAGCATATTAGGATTAATGACACAATAAATAAATAGATCTAAAATTTAGTAAGTACATGTAAGTTATGTTTATTTAATATTATTTGAATAACTTTTTTCTGAAGATGGACATAACCAGGATATTAGATCTGTCCCAATGTAAAAAATGGGTTTGCATGTTCAAGAACTAAGTCAACCTCACCACCCACTCTCATGACATTTCTCTCATCTAGTTACTAAACCAAATAATCCCATACTACTCCAAGGCACCCACTCTGGATGGAGTTGTTCAAAGGGATCACCACAATATAAGGACCTATGGAAGTCACTACCCCAGAGTGTAGTGCATGCCAGGACATTGAATAAATTCAAGGAGGAGATAGACAAAATTTTAATTAGTAATGAGCTAAAAGGTTATGGGGATTGGACAAGAAAGTGGAGTTGAGACCCACACGAGATCAGCCATCATCGAACTAAATGGTGGAGAAGTCTCAAGGGGCTGGATTGCCTATGCCTGCTCCTAGTTCCTAATCCTTACACAAAAACAGAAATTGCTACAGGAACTCAGCAGGTCTGCGGACAGAAATCAGAATTAACGTTTCAAGTCCGGTGACCCTTTTTCTGAAGTTCATGGTCGACAGTTCTTTGTTATATGCTTATGTTCTGTAGCCCAGAGTGAACCTGTCATTGAAGCGGTTTGATCCTGTGTAAATAGACATTGCCGCATCAAACATGGCAGGTCAGAGTCATTGTCATATCAGATTCAAATGTCAACTCTGCTTCTCTGACCAGATCTGCTGCGATTCTTCAGCACTTTCTGTTTTATTTAATTTCAGATCACCGACATTCGGAGTATTTTGCTTTTATTTGTCCGTTGGCACAGCTGCTAAGAAAGTTTGACCTGACGAAAGGATCAGATTGTAGCAGGAAGAAGTCACCATGAGATAGGGGATGTTCTGCTATGTCCTGTAGAAAGGTCCTACCTATCATTGGTCTCCTGCAGCTGTCCAACAAACCAAGGCCACATAAACACAAGTGGTCATATGTTTACCTGCCTTAGTCACAGCTTGTGGATTGTGTTTGGCCTCACACACTCAGTCTACTTGCAATGATGGATGCTAGAATGTCTTCTGGGTGGGCTTGGTCAAACAGTGACACAGAACAAAAGGCCAAAGGGAACGGAGTTCAGGAGAAAAGAAACAGGGCTGTCATTGTTGTTCATGAATATTGGTTTGTGTTCAGAATGTGCATCAACTACCTTCAATTGTCCAACAATGTCAGATATGGCGATGGGTTTCCCAGGTGGTGGTTACTGATCTATGTGGGTCTCAGCAGCACCCTGTGGGTTTGGAGGGTTCCCCATCATCTCCAAAATGTCTCTCCGGGAGACTTACTCCAGGGCTCCATGGTAGATGTTCCCACACTACAACAGTTCGATACATACAAGAGATGATGAATGATCTGCTCTGAAGAGTCAAAACACTAATTAGATTCACAATTGATCATAAGAGCCGGACTGCAAGAGTATGGTTCATATAGTTCCCAGGATATAATCAACTACACCCATATGGCTTTTAGAGTTTCTTGGGAACAGAGAAGAACACTAGCAAGTAGTCATGGCACCGAGAAATGTGATGTGAAGGTGCTGGTGTTGGACTGGAGTGGACAAAGTCAGAAGTTCCATTACACCAAGTTATTTGAAAGCAGTGCTCCGAAAGCTTGTGATTTCAAATAAACCTGTTGGACTATAACCTTGTGTCATGTGACTTCTGAATTTGACCAAGAAATATGTCGGGGCTTTCAGAGACCATCCCATCTTCATATGTTTTTCCCAGAATGAGGTACCTACACACTCAGCAGTATGGCGCATACAAACCACACAAAAATCCACATTAAGACTGGCACCAATAACCTGCTCACTGATAGTCTGGCCTCAGCCATGGTCAAGCAGCTCCAAACTAGGTTTTCGTCCAAACATGGACAAAAGAAGTGAACTCCAGAAGTGAGCATTACGAAACTTAGCAAAGAACTGGCGGAGAAGATTTCCATGAGGTCAGGAATGGGATATTCAATATCCTGCTCTGATAAGGGTGCATTGGTTTAGCACATTCAATCCTGAGCACATTTGACATTCTTTGAATTCTTTGTTCTTGCCCATTTAGGTGTAATGTTCTGCAAGTATTCAGCTCAAAGTTTCCCTGTAAAGAATTTCTCAGTAGTTTGAGGGATGCTCTTCAACGTAACGATATGACATGAGCAACCAGGAGCTGCCAAATAAAACGTGCCCTGCTGTAATTCCCAATTGTTTCGCTGCTGGTGCAATGCTCGTACTCTGTCGCTAGAGGGGGCTCCACCGCTCTGTGTACTTGCGACAATCTGCCTGAAGAGGGCGCGCAGGGCGGTATCTGTAATACGGCAGGTCACGGATGAAAAGAAGCGTCCCAAAACTGTCGTAAAGTCCCGGTTCCTGAAATGCACTCATTGAAAACCCTGGAAGAATGTCGAGGGTGGATCAGAGTTTGAAATGTCATAGGCGTCCTTGAAGTTTGTAAAGGTAAAATAATTTCAAGGTATTGTAATACAGAGGCATTAGCTTTCTTACAGGACTCAAATAAGCGAGTTAAGTTTAGGATTGTGTGTGTGTTTTTTGTTCCTTGCAGCAGGGACGCGTGCACGTGGCTGAAGGAGCAGCGCGTGCTCCGGGTAACGTTCTATCTCTGGGCCAGGGTTCGGTGAGTGAGTGGAGCCGCGCGCTGCTCAGGGGACCAGGTTGCACGGAGTGGCCCTTGCACCCCGGGTCCATCGGATCTTTGTGCTCCTTCCTGTGACAGGCATGGCCACTGCTCAGAGGGTCGAACCAGAAACTGGATTTCACGACAAGCTGTGTGCTCCTACACTTTCATTGTGCTCCCCCCCGCCCCATCTTAATTTTGCGCTGCAGGTTTTGCAATAGTGACATTCAAAAGAATTGAATTCAAGGCAATGGCTCCACATCGTTTGTTTCCTCAGTGGAGATGATCACCCAAGAGTTGCAGCGACGATAAGGGCCCCTGGATTGGTTTAGGGCGTGAAGGAATCGATCCGAAACAAAGAGGCCCTGAGCAATGGAGGTTTAGAGGATTGGAAGAGCTTCTCAAGAAGCTGGGACAAAACCATTTATTTGGGAATGAAGTTCCGTTTGCTTTTCTTTCTAAATTCTAATGCACACTTTTGAAATTATTTATGGGTTCCACTTCTCTTGCACTGTCCTGCCAGTCGTTCTCACAGGATGCTCAGTATCCCTTTCTGACACCTATTTGAAATCAACAGAATAAAATGTTCTAACCCAAAACAAAAATGAGCTGGAATACGCAAATGGTTAGCAAGGGGACGGTTGAAAAAAGTGCAAGCAATCAATCTTGCTGATGAAAGCAGGAGATTTTAAGGCTTAACTCGCATGTGATAATTGTGCCAGGTTTTGTGAGTGATCTTGTTCATTCTGAAAGAAGGCCAGGTAAAGAACTGAAGTTTGGACAGGTAACAAAAGGAGAATGCAATTTAGCAGTCACTTCAGAGAGATCAGAGGGTTTGGAAAAGTACAAGCGCACAGTGGGTCAGACACCATCTGTTGTGAAAGGAACAGTTAATGTTTCAGGCTAATGACTACTTAGAATGTTTGTCTGAGGAAACTGGACTAAAGAAATTTAGGGGTGGCACAGTGGCTCAGTGGTTAGCACTGTTGCCTCACAGCGCCAGGAGCCCATGTTTGATTCCACCCTTGGGCAACTGTGTGGAGTTTGCATGTTCTCTCAGTGTCAGCACAGGTTTACTCCAGGTGCACTGATTTTCTCCCACAGTCCAAAGATGTGCAGGCTAGGTGGATTGGTCGTGCCCATAGTGTTCAGAGATGTGTAGATTTGGTGCATTGGGTCTGGGTGGCTTGCTGTGAGGGTCACCGTGGACTTGTTGGGCTGAAGGGCCTGTTTCCACACTGTAGGGATTCTATGATTTGGCCTTCGAGCTGAGAAAACATCACATTGAAACAGACTTTGAGAGAAAATAGATGTCAAGAGGAAGTAATAATTAAGAAGGGTAGGTGGGTCAAGTATGTTTTGAAGGTTACAGGCACAGTCTAGAAAAAGGGAATGGTGAACAGTGACAGTGGGAGTCAGAATTGAATCTAGAGGAGATCTAGAAAACCAAGGGTACATCTTGTGCTACGAGGTCAGTGGTTCCATATAATTGACAGCAGACAGGAAAAGACATCAGTGTGTACATTCTCTACTACCCCATTGAAATCTGGGTGAGGTCTAAATCAAATAAAAACACAGGCCAATTAAAGGAAAGGAACCTGGAAAAGTAGCTTTGACTTGTACAACAAGAACAAGTCCATATGACCACTTTTAGCTTGATTATGATTTGTACATTTCAGAAGCTTGTTCCACAGACCCATTATTTCCTTGGAAAGCATTAATCTTTTGATATTTGACCTAGATCATGACGTGCATAATTGGAAATTGTGACCTTAGACTGAAAAGAAAGAAATTCAAGTCTTAATCATTAACAAGTAATAATTCTTTGGTAGTGTAGAATTTAAGTATTAGTGATAAAAGGGCATTTTTAAAATTTATCATCTGGCATACATTGGTATTACTTGTGAATTGTGCTAATGTGAAGAGTAAACAGCATTATATACTGAGAGAAGAGAGTGCTGATTAATTGACAAGTGGGCTCTGATTGTAGGAGTTGTCATGGAGAACACACCAGTTAAATGTTGACTGATAGTTAACTGCGAAGCTTTGTAAATTTTAAATCAGGCAGGTTTGCTATAATTGATCAAGGCATAACCCCGAGAAATTGACCAGAGAATAGTTGTAACCCATTCTGAGTTGAGACAGGCACAATGTGTGTAAATGCTCCGTCTGCAAAGAACCAAGCTCTCTGTGCCTTCTAGAATTGTGTAACTGCAAGCCCAGATGACAGTTGTGAATTGGTTTCACTGTAATTCGTGTCATATTTGGGATTACTTAACAGATATTGTCCAGTTGCAAGATTACATTTAATGTTGGATAGTACCTTTTTAAGTTTTGCAAGCATGGGCTGAAATGTACAGACAGATCCACCAGTTTTTGAGACATGTGCCTTACATACCTAGCTTCACACCAGCACTGAAATCGATATGCCGCAGTATAAGATAGGCAGAGCGTCTTTTGGCTTGATGGCAGCATCTTTTTAGTGGCACTGCTGGTGTCACGATTGCATAAAGCAGAGAGCAACAGTTAGCTTCACCTGTTTCTCAAGCATCTGTGATACCTTCCTCTTTCAGCGCAATCTGAGAGAGACTGTGCATTTCTCAGGACAGTCTTCAGGCTGTTGATGAAATTCCGCATTATACCACAAGAAATGACATGATCGAAGTCACCTTGATCCTGCAGAATGGCTTTTATGTCGTATCTCATCAGCAAGCTTGCTCAATGAAGAAATGATTCGGGTCCTACTTCCAAGGCTGTTGGTAATATTTCTTGCAAATTCAAGTGAAGGAGACCTGATGTATACGTTGACCAGTGGAAGTAGGCTTGTTGTAGACAGTGACATCAAAGAAAGGGGCCTTATTTGACAGTTCCATCTCAGAGGTGAATTTGAGTGCAGGATGGAGCCCCGTGTGAGGAAATTCTTGCGTGCACCTGTGGTTTGGGGAAATGGTGACATAGAAGTAACATCATTGGGTTTCTGTATTATTAACACAATCTCGTGCATTGGAAACATAGGAGCAAATCTGACTATGGGCAGCTGGTGGAATTTAAATTCATTAATATATCTGAAATTGAAAGCTGGTATCAGTAATGGTGACCATGAAACCATTGATTATGTAAAAAGCCATCTGTTCACTAATGGGGATGGAAATTTGCCATCCTTATCTGTCTGGCCTACAAGTGACTTCTGACTCCGAACAATCTGGTTAACTCTTAACTGCCCTCTGCAATGGTCTCGCAAGCCTGTTAGTTGAAGGGCAGTTAGATATGGGCAACAAAGGCTGGCCTTGCCAGCAATGCTTACATCCTGTAAAAGAGTAAAGGAAAGAATTCAAATATAGCAATGTATCGTCAACATATCAGAAAAATGCAAGGAATTGGAGGTTAGGTTTTTTTTCAAACACATGTTTCTCGTGGAACCCAGCAAAGTTGTTTGAGAGATCTGGGCCTAACAGGAATCCCATGGCAACCCCATCAATTTGGGACATATGTGGTGTCATTAAAACTGAACTCAACTGTGCTGTTTGATATTGTGACCAATCAAAGGCAGCCTGCCTGTTTTAAATGATGCTTGGTAATATCAGTTGTCATCTAACCAGTGCATTATCCATGATAGTGACCCTATTGATCAGAGTCAAACCAATCAGCACACTTGTATCAAAGTATAAAATATTGTTTTCCTATGGTTGGTTGGCTCGTCGAGTTGGTTTGTTAGTTCGCAGACATTTCATTACCCTGTTCGTTAACATCATCAGCGCAGCCTCCAATGAAGCTTCATTGATGATGTTACCCAGCAGGGTAATGAAACATTTGCGAACTAACGAACCAGCTCAGCGAGCGCACCAACCACAGCATCCACAACCTGAGCTACAAATCTACTCGAACCTCAGATATTGTTTTCCCTTATATTGGTATATCTTATGATTTGGCCTGATAAGTGCAAGATGGAGAACTTTGATACAGTTGTATATGAGAGGCATGTGTGAGCTGGTGAGTTTGTAATGATCTACAAGTGGTTGACTGTGTGTGTGAGACAGCGAGTGACTGCAAATGTGTGCATGCATGACAGAGTTAATAGTGTTGAATTAGTTAATAATGTAATAAATAAAGATATGGTGGGGCTTCTACAACCCATACAGTGTGTGGTCCTGTTCCGAGGAAGAGCACCCAGCATGCTGCTTATGTCCTGGACAACCACATGCAGGATGTGTTGTCACCTGGAGTGGTTCAAGTTCCAGGTTTTGAAGCTTCATTCGCAGCTGCCATCGCTGCGATGCATCCAGAGGTTTAGCGGTTTGTGATAACCCATTTCTGGTAGATGCAGTTTGCAGGTGGAGAAGGAATGGGTGACTGAATAGGACAAAGGGCGGAAATGATTTGAGAATTGTTCCAGAGATAAGCGATTTCAGTTGTATGGATAGATCGGCAAATGGGGGTGTTTTCCTTGGAGGAGAAAGTGGAGACATATTCAAAACCAAAAAATGTCTGGAAGTGTGTTCCCACTGGTGAGAACATCAAGAATAAGCAAGCATTGCTTCTTCTGCCAATCACCAAAATCAATGGTGACATATGGCAAAATTCTTTAGACAGTGAGTGATTATGATCTAGAATGCACCACTTGAGAGTCTGGTGGTGGCGGATCCGATCTTGGCTTTCAAATGGGAGTTAGATACTCATTTGAAGAGAGAAAATTTGCAGGGCTACCACAAAGTCGTGTGAGTGGAACTAACCAATCATCAGCCCAAACCTCAGGGGTATCTAACAGAACATTTGGGTATTGCCTACAAGTCTGGAGTTTCGCAGATTTTCACGTTATCTGCAAACCTGCAGATTGCTCCCCCAACTACGACATCTAGATGATTAGTAGAAATAATAAATTGCAATGACCCTAACCCTGTGGAATGACTAATGACTCGTTTCCAACCACTTTCCAAAATGAAATCTACCTATAATGTCCCCCTCACAAAAGCACTTTCAAGGCAGTTTTCATTTGATTTTTATACTAGCTGAGGCTTTGTATTGCATACGAAGCATTTTCCATGGTCATCAAATATGGAATTTGGAAATTGGAGTTCAGAAAATGCAGTGAGTTTATCACAACCAATATGTTAAACTTCTTCAAACAGTACAAATGCAGGGACTTGCTTTGACCTCAAATGCATTGTCTGGAAGGATGGTGGAAGCAGATTTAATAGCTTTCAGATGGCAGTTAGTTGAACAAAAGGGGAAGAATTTACAAGGTTATTACATAAGGTCATGAAAATTAAACACTGCTCCATCGCTGTCTAGACCTTCAGGTGGATATCATCTGGACTGGCTTTGATAAAGTTTCAGAATCTGTTGAGAATTTTCTGGCTGCCGTACTGGTATTAAGGTTGTGAATGAAGAAGAAATGGATATGGTCACAGGATTAGCAAGGGCCAAAAAATTTCTTCTCTGAGGCCAGAAACAAGAGGCATGGCTTAAGGGCAACAATGGATGGAGGCAGCTGAACCTAACTTTTAAAATTTTGCTAAATGTCTGGAAACTCTCTCATGATGTTTTGAGTGTAGAGTAGTTGTAGAGAGGTTTAAGACAACAGACGGTAGTTGGGTGTATTCGTTTTTCCCACCGCGTTTCCTGCAAGTAATTAAGTCACGTTTGGTTCTTGCAGCCCTGAATGTATTCTAAAATACATCATTAAGCTGGCAAATTCATAATCTTCAGCACTTTCTGTCCCAGATAATTAAAAGAGTCCATTTTGCAGTGTTGATTAACCACATTTCCTCGCAGTCTGACTGACCCTATCCCTTTAATAATTGTGCGGTTGGTTTCTGCATTTAAAGATGCAAGCAATGCTATGCATCTGTTTGCCTCTGCGTAACCCATTCATGGTGAATTGTGAGCCCTGGATGTGTGACTGCCCAGAGAAAGGAACTGATGCTCACGCCCCTGACTATTAAATCTTAATCTGCTTTTCCTTTCAGAGATTTTGATTGTGATGTCGTTTCGAGGAGGTAGGGGTGGAGGAGGAGGAGGTGGTGGCTTTGGTAGAGGAGGAAGAGGTGGTGGTGGAGGACGAGGAGGTGGTTTCGGTGGAGGACGAGGAGGCGGTTTCGGTGGAGGGCGAGGAGGTGGAGGATTCCGCGGGGGAGGACGAGGAGGCTACAATAGAGGATATGATCAAGGACCTCCTGATAGCGTAGTCGGTAAGAGGATTACAATCGATTTTAAAATACCACCATTCTAAACCACGGGATCATTGCCGTTCACGTAAATATTTGAAACATTTCCGTGGTTCAGTTGTTAGTTTGCTCCATCCAGTGATGACTTTTTTCCGCCAGAGATTAGTGAAGTAGACCAGCTATTTGGTCTCTTGATTATGTAAATAATTTAAGTGCTTTTTTTAATTCATTTTATTCACTCATGGGATGTGGGCGTCGCTGGCCAGCATTAAAATTGCTCATCCCTAGTTGTCCTTGAGAAGGTGGTGGTGAACTGCCTTCTTGAACCGCAGCAGTCTTCCTGCTGTGGGTTGACCCACAATGCCATTAAGGAGGGAATTCCAGGATTTTGACCTAGCGACAGTGAAGGAACAGCGATATATTTCCAAAACAGGATGGTGAATGGCTTGGAGGGGAACTTGCATGTGGTGGTGTTCCCATGTATCTGCTACCCTTGTCCTTCTGGATGGAAGTGGTTATAGGTTCAGAAGGTGCTGTCTGAGGATCTTTGGTGATTTTCTGAAGTGCATCGTATAGATAGTACACACTGCTGCTACTGAGCGTCGGTGGTGGAAGGAGTGGATGCTTGTAGATGTAGTGCCAATCAAGTGGGTTGCTTTGTCCTGGATGGTGTCAAGCTTCTTGAGTATTGTTGGAGCTGCACCCATCCAGGCAAGTGGGAAGTATTCTATCACACTCCTGACATGAGCCTTTTAGCTGGTGGACAGACTTTGGGGAGTCAGGTGTGTTAATTGCCACAGTATTCTTAGCCTCTGACCTGCTCTTGTCGACGCTTTGTGATGAGTTCAGTTGAGTTTCTGGTCAATGGTAACCTCCCAAGATATTGACTGTGGGAGACTCAGTGATGGTAACACCATCGAATGTCAAGGGCCAATGGTTAGATTGGCTATCATTAATGATAGCCATAGCCTGGCATTTGTGTGGTTCAAATGTTTGCTGCTGTGACTTTCCACACAGTTAATGAAGTGGGGTGACAGTGTAGGTGCAATTCCCTGAATGTGCTTGAATGCAAACATCGTGCAATATCATGATGCTTTTGACCCACGCGAGTTGATCCAGTGTCAGGGTACCAGATTTGGTCAACTCATGTAGGCAGCAGCTTTGCAATTCACAGCAAGAAAAGAAACAAGCATTCTGATGCAAGGTAGGCCCTGTACTGGGGGCTTTTCAAAGGATACTCACCAGTGTAGCTAAGACACTTTTTGATTTGCTTGCAGTGATGCAAAGTTTGTGGAAACATTGTAGTGAGTTACTGGAGCAGTTTGGAGGTTTCTTGCTGCCAGCAGAAAGGGAGGAAATAACCTTGCTGTGCAACGATCACCCTCCTGTCACTGCGGCACCACTTGCTCAGCAATGTGAACAGGTCATTTGAAACATACGGGCATGGTAGCAGGGAGAAACCATTCAGCCTGTTGAGCTGGCTCTGCCATTGCAAATGGATCATTGCTGATCATTTACCTCAATGCCACTTTCTGACGTTATCTCCATATCGCTTGATGTCCTTAATATCCAGAAATCTATCATTTTTGGTCTTGAACCTGCTCAATACAGAGATGCTGCACCTTTCTGGGGCACAGAATTCAAAAATCTATCACCCCCTTGGTGAAAAAATTCTGACTGATCTCTATTAATTGGCCTACCCCTTATTCTGAGATTACGTCCCTGCCTCTACACTCGCCCAAGTACGGGAGTAAGAGCTGGTGGCTCTGAGTGTTAATTTGGTCCAGTCAATTTCCAATACTTGCATTCTTTAAGAATTGTTTAAAGAAGGCTCACTTTGTGAGATTGACTTGGGGGATCAAAATGATGTATTGTGTGACCAAAATTATTTCACCTGTGGAGCTAAGAAAAGTAGTGGGAGAAAGAAAAGTTAATAGTGTGCAGTTCTGCGTATATCTACATATTACATATGGTTTGACATAAATTTTTTTGTGTCAGTTTTGAGATTATGCATGTCTAATATTTGCTACTTTTTTTTAAAATGTAGAATTGGGGCATTTCATACATCCTTGTGAAGATGAAATTGTTTGCAAATGCACCTCTGAAGAAAATAAAGTCCCGTACTTCAATGCGCCCGTCTATTTGGAAAACAAAGAACAAATTGGAAAAATTGATGAAATATTTGGGCAGCTCAGAGATTTTGTATCCTTTCATAAGTTAATGTTGAGAAAGAACTTTAACTAACATGACTACAAAGTTGATTACAACATAACGTTATGATGTTGCATTTGATGATATTGTACCAGCCAGTATTTTCTTTGGAACCAGAGGAAAATTACTGCACAGAAAGAGACAGACAACCAATTATCTCTGTCTTGGCAGAATAAACTAGCCACCAGTTTTAATCCCACTTTCCAGTACCTGATTTGTAGCCTTGCAGGTTACAGTGCATCAGGTGCAGATCTAGATCCAATAATCAAACTCAGCGTATTCACGTCCTTCCCCATAATCCGTACACCAAATCTCGTGGCTCACCTAATCAGTGATGGGTACTTCTATGGACAGCCCTAGGTTCCCATGATCTTATGGTATTAGCTAGACATTGAAATCTCGGCCTTGGGATCTTTCTGTGCATCCTATTCATTCGCATTGCAAAATGGTTATACTCTTTCGGGTCTTTCTCGGACTTGCTTATCTGTAAGGACAGCTCAAATTCTATTACCCATTGTATTTTGATGCTGTCTTTTATTACATTCAGTTACTCCTTTTATTTTCCCACTGTCCCAATTACATAATGTAAAAATAAAATGTCAGTTAATTTTGACTAATTGTTATAAAGTTAACTTCTGTTATAAAGTTAATTATAAGTGTAACATTGTACAACTACTTCTACTGTCAGTGATTTGTAATTTGTGGGTTGTAAGCAATCTATCTTGTTCAGGGCATAAGAGAAGGCGTCTCCTAAGGCCTGTTAACCTTCACATCTAAGCTTACATGATTTTTTATAAGGCTCGTATTATTATTCTGGTTATGTATTGAAATCAACTTCTATGATTAGAGCGTTTTTAGCTAGAAACTGTTTAATATCGCTGGTAGCTTCAAAGAGACAACTGTTTACTACAAAATAACTTTAGCTGTCATCCTTGCAGCTGCTTAAGGACCTAATCTAGCACCTGACGTTATTCATTTACTGGGACAATCATCCTTTCATTAATAAAGCTGGAATTGGTCATTTATCTGTCTTAAGGCATCCTTTTGTCAGAACTGTCTCGGATGGGAACATACAACGTTCTTTTACTGACCTTTGAGCAGTTCAAAGGTACCATTGTATTTCACTGCGTGAACAGGCTATTTAGTTTTGCTTAGCTTCTGTCTGCCATCTTGTAAGCAGGCATGGGCCGCTTAGTGTGGTCAGGTACAAGTCACCTTGCAAAGCCAGGTACGGGTCATCCCTATAGTAGTGAAGGTGGTGTTTAATTTACTTGTCTTTATTGGTCAGTGCATTGAGTACAGGAGTTGGAAGGTCATGTTACGGCTGTACAGGTCATTGATTAGACCACAATTGGAATACTGTGTTCAGTTTTCGTCTCCCTGCTATAGGAAAGATATTGTGAAACTTGAAAAGATTCGGAAAAGATTTACAAGGATGTTGCCAAGGTTGGAGAGTTTGAGCTATAGGGAGAGGCTGAATAGGCTAGGGCTGTTTTCCCTGGAGCGTCGGAGGCTGAGGGGTGACCTTATAGAGGTTTATAAAATCACGAGGGGCGTGGATAGGGTAAATAGGCAAGGTCTTTTCCCCAGGATAGGGGAGCTCAAAACTAGAGGGCATAGGTTTAAGTCAGAGGGGAAAGATATAAAAGGGATCTGAGGGGCAACTTTTTCGTGCAGAGGGTGGTGCATGTATGGAATGAGCTGCTAAAGGTGATGGTGGAGGCTGGTACAATTACAGCATTTAAAAGGCATTTGGATGAGTACGTGAATAGGAAGGATTTAGCGGGATATTGGCCAAAATGCTGGCAAATGGGATTAAATTAATTTGGGATATCTAGTCAGCATGGACGAGTTGGACCGAAGGTCTGTTTCCGTGCTGTATATCTCTGTAAGTATCTGCATCGCCATTTCCTTTATTCTTCCCTTCTAGTCAGCTTTCGTTTTGCCTGTACCGCTTTGGAAGGATGAGTGAGTAAATATCAGATATTCACCATATGAGATATGAGAGGGGCAAATTATAAGGGGCTTTATTCCTGGGCTGGTTTGTACCTGATTGCTTACAGAATGTATGTACTGGGGGAGGGCACAGAGGCTCTGATTAAACTTTAAAATAAAAGACTTGTTGCTCGCTTCAAAAAATTGCAGCATGTTCATTTATAATTAAATACACAAGTATACGCTGTATGATAGTCTCTTATTTGAACACTTGTGTATGTGTAATGCTATCTAATTTTCTTTAACTGAAATTAACAGTATTTTTCAGTTAAATTGTCAGACAACATGAAAGCTTCTTCTTTTAAGAAACTACAGAAGGTAAGTTTTTTTTCTTGTGAAGATTAACAGCTAAGGAAAGTTGGAGTTATTCTGCTTTGAAAATTCAGACTGTGGAGGAGTGGAGAATAATTTATGGATACCACCCACTGCCCCCAACCCCTACTGCACACGATGCGCGCGCGCACACAATAAAAGAACAATGAGGGCCTTGGTTAACAACCTATATCTCCAGTTGTGATTGAACTTTGAATTTGTATAAACCAATTGTAAATTCTATCTACCGATATTGGTTTTGGATGCTCCTGCACGTCGCTTAAGTTGTCAAATGTAAAAGTGACCTTTTATTGTTGGTTTCTGCTTGAAGCAGTTTCTTAGAGATGCGTATGAAACAGGCCTTTTTGTGCAGACTCGAGTTGTTTCTCACTTTCCTTGCAGTTCTATATCGATCCAGCTAAACTACTCCCTCTTCAGCGATTCTTACCTCGGCCACCTGGTGAAAAGGGCCGAGGGAGAGGAGGTCGTGGAGGAGGACGAGGGGGACGAGGCGGTGGATTTGGAGGGCGAGGCGGTGGATTTGGAGGGCGAGGCGGTGGATTTGGAGGGCGAGGTGATAAGATGTATCCATTAATTGAACATTTGTTGATACTGTCATTAATACTGGTTGCCTTGGAAAGCTCAGTGGATTTGTTGTACTGCATGTGGTAGGCAGAGATTCATGAAAGTGAGAAAAGTGAAGCAGTGCAGGATGTTATTATGTTCCTGATATCCAGATGGTGAAGGAAGAAACTAGAGCCATCTTTACTTAGTATTGATTTATTCAGAGTATTTCGTTACAGGTACACATGCTTAAATCACCCCCTTGTTAGTAAGTGTCACCTTGTTCTTTTATTTATATTTAACCTGCTGGGTTGTGTTATGACACACTTCAATGACTATCAGTGAAGTGGGACCTGAACCCAGACCTTTTGGCCCAGAGGTAGGGAACGACCATTATGTCACAAGACCTTAAACTGTGTGTTCAAGGAAGCATCCAATCCATACCAGTCAGCTGTGTATACTTTGGTGCAGTTATGCAAGATGGCCCTAATGTATGTTAAGCTGCAGTTTTGTTAATTGACAATTAGAGGTGATGCCAGAATTAATACTACTTTCCCATATAACATTTCACCCAACAGAAGCAAGTATAGTGATAATGAAAGGCTGTTAATGGGCTGCTAAAAGTAGTTTATGCTTGAACCTAAGAGTTTTGAAAATATCTGAGTTAATGTTGAAAACCTGGTATTACAAGAGCTGCTTCCACACAAGTCACCTATCAAGTACTCACGAGGTAACTGCAGCCCTGGTAACTATATTAACCCATGCTAACATTCATCTGGGAAGTTTATAATTGTGCGTGAGCCTTACCTTGCTTATTGTGCTTTATGCTGTGGTGTGGATGTGAAGCTGAATTTGTAATGGAAGAGAAAAATTAAGTTTATCGCATGGAGTAGAGTTTCTTAATTTCGTTTAGTGATGTTTTTCCACCTGGATCAGCAATGGGATATTAAATGGAGTTGATTGCAACCACTGTTACATTGTCAGTCCTCAGGAAACTTCTGTGACATTAGTCAGAAGCAGAAGGGAAAAATTACACCACAGGACATGGCCGTTCAGCCTGTCCTCTCCATGCTGGCTGCTAATGAGCCATTTCACAGCAATTCATGTTCTTTTGTATGTGCAAGTGATGTTGAGGTTTACATTTCAACATGCCTAGGCATTCCAATATGAACATGATAGGCCGAATCACCCCCTATGCTATAATAAGCTGCCAATCGTCATTGTTGCTATAAATTAGGAAATGTCTTTTTATAAGTTTAACTTATTGTAACAGTTCCGTCATTAACATGTAAATCTAAGCCTATTATTTTAATGTTTATAAACTAAATCAGCAAATTTAATATTAATGCCTATAATACCTTTATAATACAAATGGAGAGCCAAAAGATTGAGTGCACTGTTCTCTTGTTTAGTACTTTGAAAATTGATTTTATTGGAGCTGCTTGAATGTGCGTGAACTTGTTA